GAGAACGGCCTGAGAGAAGGAGGGGAAACCAGGCCACGAGCCGCTCAAACAGCCAGCCCGTCTATGCAAAGGAGTCCCGAGAAGCAGGTAGATGAGAGCGCAAAGAAAGAAGGAAAGTCCCCGACCGGAATGGCCAGCAAGGTCAACGAAGATGTTCAGGGACTGGCAGCGATGTGTCCACAAGGAGACGGAATCCCGCCAGCTATCTGGAACCGGCTAGCCATATGGGGCTCACCGCCTACGGTTTGTGATTCCATCTGAGCATCAAACATCAACCCTGCATCACTTGAAGATATAGATGCTTGTGGATGCCTTTCAGATTGTAAATTATTTGGGAAGGGAATTCCCGTGTGCAGATGCGACCATTCTAAGCATCCGTGGGGGTTAAATGCAGTAGTCATCAACTAGAGCAATGAACTATACACATCACACGCATCACTTGCACCAGCTCCCCTAGTTTCTTTTCTCCAAGGGGATATTGGTAACCAGATATAAGGGCATTTATCACCACTATGAAAGTAACCCCTTGAAAAAGAAATTGGCCTGGCATTGGCATCGAATTTTGTTTCACACAACCATAAGATAATAATTACAAGCAGATGGGGAATCTAGTTTCGGATCCTCCATTCATGAGAAAACCATTCTATGCTTACTCGGTCTTGCGCTCAAAGTAAGACCACTGGCCGGGTCTGGGCTTCTCGGAAAGCTCCTCCCAACTAAGCTGACGTTAGCATATTTGGCTTGAATCGAGAACTTGTCGATCGGTCAACTTACGCGGAAGTCTTGTACAGCTCGTCAACAACCTTCAACTCGCCCTCGGCAACCTCAATGACCTCCTCAATCAGACCGGCGCCAATCTGTCTCTCAATCTCGGCAATCCTAGAAGAATTGGTCAGCATCTCCACGGAACGGTATCATAGCTCAGAGATTATGCCACATACTGCTCAGCCTCCAGGGCGGGCTCGTTCTCCCACTTCATCTGTGCGGTGTAGAAGTCCGATTCGGCAGTGGGCTTGGTAGAGTCCTCAATGGCCTGGTGCCACCGTGCTTCTTCCTCTGCCGTACGAGCGGGGCCCTCGGTAGTAGGTTCGATGCTCTCTCCATCCCATTCCTGACCACGGGGGTTGTCGGTACCGTCGTCACGCTGCCAGGCGGCATATGTACCGTCAGGACGGCGAAGAGAGGCGAAGCGCTCGGGCTCTTCAGCCACGGCCTTCTTCACACGCTCCAACCAAGCATCGAATCCGGGCGGCTTCGTGGACTCGACGATCTGCAGGCGGTGGCGGGTCAATGCTTCGGTAGACTGGCGGTAGACGGAGGACTCGGGGAAGGCCTTCAGCTTGTCCAGGGTGGACTTGTAGAGGAAGATCAAGGTCGGGCGAGGGCTAGGGTGAGTGACGAGGCCGGTCAAGCCGGTAGGAGCGAAAGGCTCCAAGTAGCGAGCGGGCTTGACGCCGGCGAGCAACCGGAATGTAGACCTCATTATGACTGGAGGTTGTGTAATTGGGTATAAGGGTCGGGTGGTGACAGACCCAATGGCAGACGATAAGCGGGAATAGCGGCGCTGTCAGTCGTCAAGATACCACACTGGATCGGGATCGATGCGCGAAGGGTTGAGGTCCCGTGTCGGGGCGCGGAGAAACCGTGGCGCCGGGGGGACATTCTCCCTCAGTCTCTCCCTGCGGCTCTCGTGAGCACCTCACTTGGTCGGCTTATCGCTTTCTCTTGTAGGAGTGTTCTTCCTGCATTCTTTCTCTCAAAGAGCCTGCGGATCGCCTCCGCAGTAGTCTCTGAGCCTAGCTCATCTTTTTTCTTCTTCTTTTCCTCAGCATTTGTCTTGCTGATATCTCTTTCGCCCCCTCCAACAAGGGGTACATTCAAGCGTGTCCCTTAGCGATTCTAGACCGTCGTTAGTTCAATGTGCCACCTGTGACGCCCCGTCCTGACTTCTTCCACTACTCCTTCGACCCCCGAAATTCGAACCGTCCCTCTTTATTCAGTCACACTTCTAAGGTCAAGGACCTTACGCTACAGCCAGCATGAGGGTCTCTTTGCTGGCGTGGTCCCTACTCTCTCTTTTCTCGATTCCCGCCTTAGCCGCCCCCTCCGATAATGTCTCTCCTAGCCATCACCTCGTAAAGAGAGGCGACTCCGACGTGAAGTCGGAGGGCCAGTCGACTACCTTCAATGGTATCGAGGTCCCGCCTATGAAGGCTTTGACTCCTGACAACTTCGATGACACGATCAAGGACGGCTACTGGTATGTTGTCTCTTCATTCTACATCTACCGTTGGTCCTCCAGAAAGCTGACAAGAACCTAGGTTCGTCAAGCAATACTCTCCGTCCTGCCCACACTGCCAGAAGATTGCCCCTGCATGGCAGACGCTCTATGAATTCTACTATGTGAGTCAATCTCTCGCGCATTGAGTCAACATCGCTCCTTACCAGCAGCATCCACTAATGTCCCACTAGACATCCGATCCTTTGTCCTCGTCGTCTTCCAAGTCATCCAACACCGATTTGCTGAACTCATTCCATGGCTTCTACAACTTCCATTTTGCCGAGATGAACTGTCTCGCGCATGGCGATCTTTGCCGGAAACTCGACGTCAAATACTTCCCCACCTTCGCGCTGTACCACAATGGTGAACTGGTTGAACAGTACACTGGAAAGAAGAGTATGGAGGGGATTAGCGAGTTCGTTGAGGAGAAGCTGGAACAGATCAAGCCTGGTTCTCGGCCTGCCCAGGGTCTCCACCTCCCCAAGCCTGGCGACAAGGGAGTGGATACTCAGGCTCAGCCCGAGGCGCCCGTCGCCAAAGATAAGGATCGTGAGGCGGGCACCAAGGCTGGCGAAAAGCACAACGAGCAGGCTGCACAGCTGGCCGAGGACGAGACACCCGCAGACAAGATGTCGTCCAAGTCCAAGCCTAAGCCCAAGCCGGCCCCAGCAAACCCCCAGGGTATCTCTGTCCCTCTCACCGCGGAGAGCTTCCAGAAGCTGGTCACCACCACTCAGGATCCTTGGTTCATCAAGTTCTACGCACCATGGTGCCACCACTGTCAAGCATTGGCTCCCAACTGGAGGGAAATGGCAAAGGAGATGCAGGGTGTTCTCAACGTGGGCGAAGTGAACTGCGATGCGGAATCCCGACTTTGCAAAGATGCCCGTGTCAGCGCCTTCCCGACGATGTATTTCTTCCGCGGCGGTGAGAGGGTTGAGTATACCGGTCTCCGTGGCCTCGGAGATTTGGTCAGCTACGCCAAGAAGGCTGTTGATGTTGGATCCGGTGTACAGGATGTCGATGCCACCACCTTCAAGGAGTTGGAGGAGAAGGAGGACGTCATCTTCCTGTACTTCTATGACCATGCGACCACCTCGGAAGATTTCGAAGCTCTCGAGCGCCTGACTCTTAGTTTGGTCGGCCATGCCCGGCTTGTCAAGACGAACAGCGCTGCTCTTGCGGAACGGTTCAAGATCTCGACCTGGCCACGCCTCCTTGTGTCCCGCGACGGTCGCCCCAGCTACTACAATGCGCTTGCTCCTAAGGATATGCGGGACTTCCGCCAGATTCTCAATTGGATGCGCACTGTGTGGCTGCCCATTGTTCCTGAGCTCACCGCCTCAAACGCACGGGAGATCATGGACGGCAAGTATGTGGTCCTTGGCATCCTGAGCCGGAAGCACTCGGACGAGTTCCTTCAATCGAAGCGAGAGCTCAAGAATGCCGCCCTTGAGTGGATGGACAAGCAGACGCAGTTGTTCCAGTTGGAGCGTGCTGAGCTGCGTGACGCTAAGCAGCTGCGGATCGAGGAAGCGGAAGACCGTAACGACCAGCGTGCCTTGCGGGCCGCCAAGAACATGCGCATTACCATCCGCGAAGATGACAAAAAGCAAGTCGGTTTCGCTTGGATTGATGGCGATTTCTGGGAACGGTGGTTGAGAACCACATACGGCATCGACGTCGAGAACGGTGAACGCGTGGTCATCAATGACCAGGATGTAAGTTACCACAACAGAATAGTTAATCATCTGCTAGGACTTGAAGCTGACTTTTTTTTTCCAGAACCGGCGCTACTGGGATACGTCTTCTAGCGGAGCTTCTATCATGGCTTCCCGGACCTCCATCCTTGAGACCATCCCCTTGGTCATCGCCAACCCACCGAAACTTACGCCCAAGTCCACAGTCGGTACCTTTGAGTCTGTCTTCTTCTTCACTCGGACTTTCATCAGCGGTCACCCGATCCTCTTCTTTATCATCCTGACGCTTTCGGTGGCTGGTGCTACAATTGTAGCCCGGGGAAGGAGTCTCAGACGCGGGGCTCGTGGCGGAATACTCGGGGTTACTGGTAACACCGGTGGTGGTTTCTTCAACCTTGATGGAAAGGAAGGTCTTCTGAACGGTGGATCGACCGGCAAGGTTGATTGAATCCATAATATGGGCATTGTACAGTTACTTCTTTTATACCTTTTACCACGCCCTAATTTCGTGTCTATTTTGGACGTTTACCGGGTTGCTATATGTTTACCAGGATCTCTGGGTTCTTCATATTGACGATTCTACTCTTATACTTTTGTCTGTTGTTTTGTCCCGAATGGTGTTAGAATATGGCGCTACTGTTGTACACAAATTCTTTTTAAAACTTTCCCTGTCTTCTAGTTGGCCATACACAAACGAAAAAGTGTGCATAAGGTCTTCTGAATGAACTTTTCAACGGATGCTATGCTGCAGTAGAGGCCGAATGCTTCGACTCTCGCATTACAATTGTAGACATAAATGGTGGCATGAGCAGTGGAAATGCGCGGCCTCTGATTTGACCAATCAGAATGTCACGTGAATTTCAATTGCCGGTCGCTGATTGGCTATAGGCAGCCGCAAGCACTCAACGTCGCGGAGTCTCCCGGTTTTCGTCGACAGCCTCAGACTTCAAGTGCAGCTGCCGTCATCCTTTGCTGGAGCAATTGTCGTTGCCGGACGTGCTTCTTTAGACCCAGTCAATATGGTATGTACTTCCCCAGAGATTCTTCGTGTGGCCTTCATCCTACCAGTGTTCTGTCGGGTTCTTTGAGCTTGCCCACTGTTCAACTGCGTCGGGAGCCGTTATCCATGTTACTATGATAGCGACTTGAACCCTGTTTGGGCACAAGTGAACCAGTGCTGATCTCGTCTTCTCGCCGATAGGTTTTCTCTCAGACTCTCCGCCGCGCCGCCGCCCAGAGCGCCGGTGCCTACCGCTCCCCTTTCGCTCCCAAGTGAGAACCCCCGGTATCCCATCTTCGGTCGACATACGGAATACACAAGGTGTTCATGCTGGCTTGGGTTGGGTCGATGAGGCAGGGACCCTGCTGCTAGCTCTGGGTACTGCGGGTTGCCTTTGGCAAAACTATCCATACTGCTGCCATACCCTCCCTGCCTCTGACGAGATTACAAGATCCAGCTAGAGAGACACCAATCCAGCCGGGACTGCAAGTGGTATATGGAAGCGACGCACTGACTGTGTGGAATAGGTACCACACTCCCCTTCACTTCCACGGCCTCACCACCGGCCTGGCTACTAAGTAGTAAGTTCCCCCTTAGGTTCCAAGACTACCCCTCGTCTTTGGCTTCCTGGCAGGCCAGCTTACACGTTGGGCACATCTAGCGCTACCATCGCTGGCACCTTCGGTGTTGCCGCCGGTACCTTCGCTCTCTTCTTCTTCGGCGAGATCCCCCGTGTTCGCCGCGACATCCTCCAGAAGGTTCCTTTCCTCGATGAGTACTTCGACCGCACGATCGCTCCCGAGGACAACGTAAGTGCCTTTCCCTCATACCGCTCCAGCGGCACCAGCAACTGGGATTGAGAGCTATGCTAACAATCGTCTAGCCCTTCTAAATTGGTGCCGTATGGGATATGCTTTTCCGACCATCTATAAGAACCCACCCAGCGTGGATATGCTACCTAGCGGATGGATGGTGAAGAAAAGAGGGTGCTGTACGTGTAGAATAGCGATGAGTTTCTGATAGCACATAGACACTGGCTGCTTCATTTATTCTTCCAGTAACATTAAGACGCACTCTCTGTCTGTGTCTGCGTCAGACTGCCAATGGCTTTTCAGGAGCTCATGCATGCCTTGTAGCCTCAGGCTCTGGACATATCTCCCGCCCCAGACACATATCGTTTTCTTTCATTAGGCTTCTTTCTCTAGTTGTCCCCCCCCAAACCAAAGCGTTGGTACTTACGTCTACACATGCACAATTTGGGCCTATGGTCTGAGCTTAAACATTAGCCTCAAGAGTTTCGTCACTGGACCAGTCAGAGCTAGTCATTCTATTCTGGCGCCGGACTACAGGAACGCATTACAACACCGTTCGAGTGCTGCGCAGCGCAGTCTCAGGTCGACTATCGCTGATAAACTCCAAATAGTCACAATTTCAGTTCCTCAAACCACCATGGACCTTCGCGAAAATGTATGAACAATGTGGCTTGAAAGGATTTGGAGGCTGCCTTTCGCGAGAACTCCTTGGATGAAAGACCAGTGAGGAGACTGGTATCAAATGCAAGGTAATAGTGGCTCCCGCGGTGTCCATGCAAGTTGTATGCGGGGGCTGATACAGGAGTCTATGTTTCGTCTAGGGACCACCGACTAATACGCACTATGTAGACACACTATAGCTACGGTGAGACGCTGAAAATGAACGAAAATAACCCCGCTACTCTCATAAAGGCAGGTATAGCCTGCCAAATCAGTGGAGAGCGACTCGTTTAATACCAGCCAATTGTTTCTTACATTGACAGGTCATAAATTCAGCCAGCTCCAGATGCTGCCGTCCGTCTTATCATCGACCCGTTAGAAACACTTTGATATTCGTTCGATGCTTATCATCCGGCAGTCAAAGCACCCAATAGCCAACCAGTTGCTTCCGATAAGCCCGAGTGGATGGATTCCCCAGCTTCTGGGTCATTGCTTTAGCGTCAAGTTCAAGGGGTTCTCCGAGTTTTGTCTTCGCTCGCGGCGCCTGAAGTTTCCCAGCCAAGTATGGTGCATGCCAAGCTTCAGGTCTCTGACCAGCAAGGAGCTGCATCCTATCTCGTCTCGTCTTTAGCAAGTCATCCTACTCGTTCCTGCTGGTTCACTGCGAGTGATGGTCTTTCCTTCCGGTCATCCAGTGAGATCGTGACCAGCTGCCAAGCGTATCAGCGCTCGATCCCCGCTTCGCTTGCACCCAGCTTCAGAGGTACCTGAGCTCCTTAAGGCGTTTATCGTGTTACGCCAGCATTCCACCTATCTTACTCAAGGCTTTGGCTATCGGTATTAAGACTTTGCAGGACGGGACGTGTCTTGTGCAGATAAGATGGCAGTCTTGATTTCCCGAAAGCCACTCATATATGTACTGGCGCATGACCCTGTCTGTCCCGCAGCCACTCTATGACTTATTTTCTAATCACCTGTGTCTTCCATACTTATACTGCTTGACATTTGTCTGAGAAGAACAAATGAAAGTTTGAGTCTAAGCTAGCAAACGCCGCATCTTTGCGTTGCTTGCTTTTTCTTCCGTCCACGTTACTTCCTGCCCCGCCGTTCCCACTCCCCAGCAGCAGCTTACTGTATACACATCACCTCTTTTTATATAAATGATTCATCCATAATGTCTGGTACGAGCAGCCATAAGGCTGTCTCCAAGGGAGCAGTGTTCGCGGATGTCGACCATGACCCCGTCACGACCATTCTGCCTCAGGGCGACGTCCCTTATACCGATCATGCGATGGATGCGGACGAGAGGGTCATCGTGGCCCTGGGGTACAAGCAAGAATTCAAACGCGAATTCTCGCTATGGACAACCTTCTGTGTCAGCTTTTCGGTGCTAGGATTGCTTCCATCATTTGCAAGCACGATATACTACGGTAGCTGTTCCTGGATCCATCAATATAATGGGTAGGGCTGACTTTCACAAGGAATGGGCTATGCAGGTACAGCTGGTATGGTCTGGGGCTGGATCATCGCGATGGTTTTCATTCAATGCGTTGCCATGTCTATGGCTGAGCTATGTTCTGCGATGCCCACCAGGTAAGATTCTCTTGAGTTGCGCACTATAGGAGTATAAAACTGACTTTGACAGTGGTGGCCTTTACTACGCCGCAGCGGTCCTTGCGCCTCCAAAGTATGGACCTTTCGCCGCTTGGATCACAGGATGGTCGAACTGGATTGGGCAGATCACCGCAGCACCGTCTGTGGATTACGCGCTTTCTGCAATGATCCTCGCCGCTGCGTCGATACAGAACCCAGACTATGTCCCCACTAACTGGCAAGTTTATCTTCTAACAGTGCTCGTTCTCATAATCCATACGGCCATCAGCAGCATGCCCACTATATGGGTGGCTCGAGTCAATTCCTGGGGCTCAACATTCAACATCATCGCCCTCGTCATTACTCTCATCGCCATCCCTGCTGGGACTACGAATGAGCCCAAGTTCTCCTCGTCCAAGGACGTCTGGGGCACCATCACCAACCTCACCGACTTTCCCGATGGTGTTGCCGTTCTGATGACTTTTGTCGGGGTCATTTGGACCATGTCTGGCTACGACTCGCCCTTCCATCTAAGCGAGGAATGTTCCAATGCCAATGTCGCCTCGCCGCGTGCGATCGTAATGACCTCAGGGGCTGGTGGCTTAATGGGATGGTTCTTGCAGTTAGTCGTCGCTTACACTGTCACCGACATTGATGGAGTCATAAACTCCGACTTGGGCCAGCCCTGGGCCTCGTACTTGCTCCAGGTCGTGCCACGCAAGACTGCCCTGGCCATATTAGCCCTCACCATCATCAGCGGTTTCTCCATGGGTCAAGGCTGCATGGTGGCTGCCTCACGAGTAACCTACGCCTACGCACGAGATGACTGCTTCCCTCTATCCAAATACTGGAAAATGGTCAACACGCGCACCCAAACCCCGGTCAATGCGGTGATCCTCAATGGCGTCCTGGGTATTCTCATGTGTCTGCTGGTTCTAGCCGGCGATGTAGCCATCGGGGCGTTGTTCTCTATTGGCGGCATCGCTCAGTTTGTCGCTTTTGCCATTCCCATCGCGATTCGGGTGTTCTTCGTGGGTCACCGGTTCCGTAAAGGTCCGTGGCATCTGGGCCCCTTTGGGCCCTGGATTGGAGGGATGGGTGTGGCGTTTGTGCTTCTCATGGTGCCCGTGCTGTGTCTGCCCAGTGTCACGGGATCTGATCTGACACCGGATCTAATGAATTGGACGTGTCTGGTCTGGGGAGCGCCAATGCTGGGGGTGACTATCTGGTGGGTTGTGGATGCGCACAAGTGGTTCACGGGACCAAAGGTCAATGTGGAGCACGCAATCCACGCTGCGGATGCGGCTGTTATAGATGGCGTGGGAGCAGATGAAGACGTAGTGCAAGATGATGCGTCGAGCAAGGCATCTGCGAGGTAGTTGCCTCACTACACTGTTCAGGTTACGTTCGTTCTAATGTTTGGCTACAGTCGTCCACAGACGCCGCATACAGTCTTGTAAATAATTCGGCATTGCGTCAATATACTGCTAAATTAGTATTATATCTCTGATCTCGTACGATCTAACGTATCCCCGTCGAAACAATCACCCATTATTTTGGTAAGAGCATTACGTCGACAGAGACAGAAACTTTCCTTGCACTACTCCCTTGAGTAAAGGTTGTTGTTGTTTGTGGTGCAATGGGAGAAGATCGCTGTTCCCTCATATTCAGCAACCAATTCTCTTCTCCACAGCGAGGATCCACCCGCACTTAGGCCATAGAAGCCTCATATAGAAATCAGCCCTATTTATGGACCCTACCAGGGAACTAGTTTGGCTTCCGTGAGGATCTCCAGATATTTGCGGTTGTTACCATAGTCTAGACAGTCTACGAAACAAGGAGCAGGGAAATGCCGACAACTCTTCGACAGAGCAATATAGCTTCAAGTATTTATACCTCAGTGGTTATATCCCACATCCAACATGGCATCTCGAGACTCTCGCTTCTAGTGTACTTTTCACCATCTATAGACTCACCATGTCACACCTCTTACTATTCACATTTCGCAAACTCCTCAACACCTTCATCTATACCGCAAGAAACGATCCACTACTCGCCAACGCCCATGGACTCTTCCAAGAGAGTCCTACCGAACCACCCCAAAATGCTCTAGAATTGACCTTGACCATTCTAGGAATGTCCCTCGACTTCATAGTAAGCAACCTAATCCCCACCCCTCGAAGACGAGCACAACCTAACAAGTACGCCATCACCACATCTAGATCCGCTACATCATCGGCAACCTCGTAATGTCCCTCCTCATCCTCGAGACCATCGACAGCAACCCTCCCAATCCCCACAAGGACAAAGACAAGGACGACAACAAGAAATCACAACCAAAGCCTACCACCCGCAACCTGCGCCAAACCCTCACCACCTTCCACCGCGAAAAGGGACTTATATCCCTCATCAACGGCTTCCATTACACCATCTACTACCATCTAAGATACTTCATAGTAACAGGCATGCTCACATCGCCTATCGCACGCTTCCCTGAACCTCTCGCACACATCATCGCTTCTGTCGCTCTCGCCGAATTCCATTTCTTCCGGACAGCAGGAGCTATCCTCCCTCCCGCTGAGCAGATGCGCTACGTGCCTCTTGGTCTTGATTATTATCGGTGGAATGCTCTTCTATTGCCGACGCTGCTTTATGCCTTAGCTGAGTCGATCATGATGTATGTGCCGGGACTACTTCTTGCTCCTGTTCGATTCGATGGGGTACTGCTGCTGCAGCCGGAGGACTTGACGGATGTTACATCCCTCGTGAGATCTGATATTCTTGTCGCGGGACTTATGCTCGTTGCTCAGGTTGTGGTTTTGTTCCCGGCGTATATTGTGCTTGTTGTGGTGGAGGGGAGCTTGGTGCCGGGGGATTGTGAGACGTTGATACCTTTGCCGGAGGAGGAGGGTGCGCGGGATAAGAAGATGGGGGATGGTGATGATCAGATTGTTTTGTGGAAGGAGAATGAGGATGAGGATGAGGATGAGGAGTACCCAAAGCAGCAAGGCAGGCTCGTCAAAGACCTCTTCAGGTTACCGGGACCGTTGCATGTGCTTGATGTGGTGGAGATGATTAGTGTGAGACAGTTGCTGTATTGTTTGGAGTTGCATGGGAAGATGTGTTTGTGTGTGGTGGGGGTTGCTACGGTGGTGCAGTCGGTGGTGTATTTGGTGTCGTAGGGTTGAATCTGCTAGTCCGGGTTGTCTGTCAATGTTTTATGTATCTGGGTGGGTTATGGTATTGGTATGGTTTCCGGATGCTGAATCTGTGAACAGCATACCCTTTCGACCATTACATGAGTGTTTTCAAGACACAGCAGTATTATGATGTCCCGTGAGAGGGCATGAGGGTACAAAAAGAAGAAGTGTGGTTGAGAGTATAGACAGCGTTATGCATGAAAGATAAAAGGCAGCAGGGATTTTCTTTCCCTTGACTGCGAATTTATGATATATTTTGACCTTCCTAGATATTGGCTATCATTGCTGTGGTGATTTATAAGAAGATGCGTTGCTCTTTCGTACAATAAGACTAGACAATTCTCGTGATTTCCCCCTCTCTCTCTCTTTATCATCAACCATACCTGCAGTACTTTCTATACCCGACCAATCAGGTGAGAAACAGCAGTAGTAGCTAATAAAATCCCAACTGATATCATTAGAGTGATTTATTTATAGGACTAGTGGTAGAAGTGTTGCAGAGCTTTCAGCGGCGTCTAATGATGGTGCTACTATGTCGCTACTAGGCCCTAAGAAAATCAGTATGAACCACATCAAGAGTAATAGGGATACGTTCTAAGTCGCTTTTGATCGAATAATGCAATATAGAAACAATTCCCTCGAGAAGGATCTCATTGTATACTACTATGAGTACTACCAGCAGTTCAATTGCAGTGTGTATATCATCGATAGTATTGAGGTGAAACCCACTCAACCCAAACATGCTATATATAACTTAGTACCAACCACCACCACCATCCAATGAATCCAGCAGAGACAACTACCACTCATACCATTTATCATCTTAACCATAATAATCTATCATCACTATACCATTCAAAATCATCCTTCCCATAACAATCACTCAACCGTGGTATCCAAGTATTTACCCCCCATAGCATCTATCTACTCCGTAATCACACCACACAACACCATACCACACTTAGCAACAGCACCACTTAACCTAAGTTATACTCCATCAGCAAGCATAATCCCTACTGTACTACCTACTTACTTACCCGATCCACACACACATACATACACGCCTGCCGCGCGACCACAGAACCCCATCCATTCATCCATCCGTCCATCTCCACTACGCCTCCCCTCCCCCGATCGAACGAATGACTTTCCTTCCCGTCTTTGTCTCTTGCCCTGCAACCTTTGACGCGGGATTTCGCGGGCGTGCGGGCCAGAGGGTCATTAAATTTCCTGCAGGTACGCAGGTTGCAGTAGTATGTGTCTAGATTGTCTATCTAGTATGTATGGAGTGGATGGATGGATAGGTAGTGGGTAGTAGGGCTGGGATGTATCCATTCAGTTTATCTATCTATCTATTTATCCATCTGTCTGTCTAGTCAAGTCTATGTATCTATTCAATGTGTTTCACTACATGGTGGTTTGTATGTAGTTTCATAGTAGACTGGCTTCATTGGTTAGTTGGTACCTTTGTTGGTATTTATTTAGGTAGGTAGGTACGTAGGTAGTAAGTAGTTGATAGCCCATGATATTTTGTTTTGTTTTTTTTTATCATATTAATTAATTATAAGTTTTTTTTCTATACGTAGACGATAGTCTTCACCGACTTTTTATAACTTATTTTCGAGAGCTGCTATGAAGTAGGCAAGTAGTTGCCTATCGTATCGGCAAAATGTCCCAGTGGTGTGTAAAATTACTGCCGACAAATTTTGTCGAGCATTCTTGGGTCAAATGTCTAGCTAATTCTTCAGCAGCTTGGCTGGTATGCTCTTCCGTCGGATGTTAACCCGTGTTGGGATGGACTTGCTTTGACTATATGGTGTAGCTTGTAACTTTATCTTTGCTTGAGACCCAAAGTCAGCGCCGAGAGAAAAGGAAGAGCACGAGTGTAACTCCGTAGTCAGTAGGTAAAATTGAGTAGCGGGCTGAGGTGGGTTTGGGCTGGGGGGGAAATTGATTGACAGGGGGAAGAAGGAAGAGAGGGGAGGTTGGTGGTGCTTGGCAATCAGTGTCCGTTATTCCGGTGTCCCGCCTGAGGCAGGCCCTCCAACTCGCTAGTTGGTTAGTGGGTTAGTTTGGTTGATTGCCTGGGGCTGACCCTCTTGTTGCGGTATTATTTTGCTTTTTGCATTATCAGCTCTTGTGCCTCGGCAGCCGATGATGATGATATTCTTGTCTGCTGCTGCTGCTGCTGTTGCTAGCGGGTTAACCATGGTGGTAATCATATAATGACAGAATTAATGCTGTAATAATAATAATAATAATCGACATCTAAAGGAAGGATAATATCAGCTTACCTCTCATTTTTTTACCGTTTCTTTCCTGTCTCAGACCGTGGAAGATGCCTATTGGGGAAAGTCATAACAATCCTTTTCCAGCCTAGGAAGAAATTATAATCTGCCATATAGACTAGGCAGATAAACCTGCCTGTCTCACAATGAAATCCCTGTCCGCGTGGCTGCTTGTCGGCCTGTCGCCGGTGGCAAAAGTCTTATACACGACAACAGACGAGCGGGACGGACTCGCCTTTCTAGTCCCATACGGGGGTGGGAGAGGCCATCGAGTAGATCATGGATACCTCAACTCCAGGTTCTCCCCCTTTCCCCTCAGCGTCCCCTCCTCCTCCTCCTTTCCCTTAGTTTCTCCTCCATGCTCCGTAGTGCGGACATACCCCTGCAGCTTTAGTGAGAGGGGGTTCGTCGTTTATCTGATCACGCCTCAGGCAGCCACATACTCTATCTGAAATGAAAGTTGTATGGTGGTCTCCGGTGACGGCGTTACGCTCAACGAACTCTAATCCTACTAATCAGGCCATTCTCACCATAGCCACCCGGATTGCACTCCGGCTGCCCTGGTAGCATTTGATACGGTTGAATATATCACACTCGCCGGATCATACATGCGCGTCAAACCAGTCGGAAACATAATGACGCGGCCCTGGTAGATACATCCCGTATCCCAAGGATCCGCCATCGTATCATTCAGAGACCTCAACAGGGACCATGCGGTTTTGTTGCCATGGCCCATAGTCGGATCCAAGACCATGGTTCGATGGCTACCTTCGGATCGACGACCAGTGTCAGTGCCGCCCATGTCCGACTGGGTACATTGCTCGATCGAACGAGTCCTTCCCCCCAGTTATGCATGACCCTAGTCCGGGTGGCTGGCGAATAGATAGAGCAACTGTTGCAAGCGCCAACGATGCCCGTCAAGTGTGGGATAGCCTGTAGCTGCAACTAACATCCCAATTAACTAATTACTAGCTGCGCTTACACTCCTGCCAACTCGGGCAGTAGTATGCTTGTGATCTTGTACGTTGATAGCCATTGTTCTGTGTGGTCCCAATTTTCAGACATAAGCGAGCCGGTGTAGATGTCTCGAAGGATGTGTAGTATCTACCCAGCCACCTACTGGGTAACTAGAGATGTATCTGATCGAATAGGAAAAAGTAATGATGGCGGCGGCAGCAGAAGCGACAGCACTCCGGGCGGGAGAGCGGGAGAGAGGACGAGCGGGCTGGCTGGCTGACTCGCAGCGTCAGGCACATGACCATGATTACCTCACCCATGCGATCCAGATCAAGCGCTAACTGCTCTGTACACTCCCAGTCAGAGTAAGTTACTTTGTCACTAACTCAAACAGGCGAGCGATGAGGGGAGAGGGGAAAAGCCTAAGCAGCTCAGGCTCAGGCCACACAGCACACAATACACACACCGAACAACAACCAACAAAATGCGCATCGCAAGAGCGTCCGGTCCGCTTGGCATCAAGTGGAATGAGGTGAGTGGCGTTCTCGCCTCGCTCAACATTTTCGCTGTGATTGGATCGCACGCGAGGTCTGAAACTGAGCCGATCCAGACTTGAGCTTCGGCATTACTCCGGTCATGCCCGGAAAAACCACCCTGGCAGGGTAAAAGTGCCGAGGAAGTATCCGGCCGACTCTGAGCGTCCCGGATTCGGCGGGAAGATCTGCATGCGGTCGTTTTGAGTTCTTTTCTGCTCTGTAGGACCCGTAGGGATGCTTTTCGTCGAGGGGCTAAGGACTTTAGCGCTGCTGAACTAGTCCACGTACGGAGTTTAGTGGCATTATATCACTATTATGTTATTATCATGGCGCCTGTTGGTTTTCATTGTTCAGAGATTGGACTCGGACCAGCCACGCTGCGCGCTTGTGCCTGCTTATCCCTGCCACGTAGATAGTAGGGAGTACACGGTAAAGATTCTATCGATCTGTTATGGTGAATGTACTTTCGGGCCTGCACACAGTCCTTTTGTTAAGGGCGGCGGTGTCCGTAGGATCTATATATAGAACTCGACGCAATTTGATGTAGGTACGTGTCGGTACGAAGTAGTAATCGACATCACATATACTAGGCGCTTGGCTACTATTGCAGCCGGGTAGAACTCCGTACCCAGTAGCAGTGAATACCAAGCCCGAATAGTCCTTTCATGCCTGACACAGTATGGTGGGCGGAGAATGGCGGACAGCATTATGCCTACCTACTGTGTACTCCCTGGTCCAACTAGTCCGCAAGTGTCTCACAAGCGAGGCCAAGCTTTAGGACGATAGCAGACTGGCGGCGATCGGTCGGACAATTTCTCGTTGAGCCATGCCGTTAAGCACCTGGTTTAACCTCTGGCTATGCGCTGCCTAAGGACCAACAGCGTCTAGTGCGCCTTCTCTCGTACGACAAACCAGTGTGTGGACTGGGTCTTTCTCGAGATCTCCCACACCGCCTTGCTTGGTGTCTCCGTAGAAGTTTCCATGAGCGGGCCATCGGCTTCGTTGGTGGAGTCCGGTGGCCGTGATCGGACCGCCACATTGGGCGAGGTGCAGGGTAGTACCGGGAGGCTACCACTGGATGCATCATGTTGGTCTTACCGTGTCCGGGAAGGCGTCTCGCAGTGGTGCTGACCGGCGTGAGAACTGCGGGCGCCTGTTCCTTGGAACGCCAGCGTAAGTGGCAAGTCGGGCGAGATGTTGC